ATATTGCCGTAAACAGTTTATTTTGCGACACCACGAAACAAACGACAGCGTAAAATGAAACGACAGACATTTTTATATCGTCATCAGATATATATCATTATATCGAACAGCCCCACCCTGAGGGATCTCCCATAGGAGAGGAGCAGATGTACAGCTTTTATTCCAAAGTGTCTGTTTGAACACAGTTACACAGACAGCATATTACATCTCTGTCAGCTGGTCGTGTTTTTAAAGAGCAGTAACCATCATCCCGTTCTTAAACGGTCTTCCTGACCGACTGACTCGAGTTAATCTGAACAGATGTTTTAACCACAGCATGATGGAACAAAACAGTTAAAACACAAGTTCAGCTGAACTGGATCCAGAGACTCGGTTCATAGAGACAACAACATGCAGCATTAGCAGGTGCATGCAGTCTCACATCCCTATTTCGGACATTTAGACAGTCGTTCCCTACTTGGTGGGTTTATGCAGCGGTTTGTACGCTTTTGCATGAATTTATGATGGAAAACTGTTGTTTCATGTAAAGGAACACCACACCTGCTACTGTGCTTCTTGTTCTGTGGACAGCCATAGATGGCAGCTCTCTTTAGAACTTTACAATAAATTAAAACGCTGTAAAAGTCTAAAGTGCGCCTTGTTAGGAGACATTACAGTTGCTGTTAAGTCTTTTTGTGGCTTCGCCTCCTCTTATCAATGAGCCACGTTTGCTTTGGACCCGTTCCTGACACAACCCCCCACCCCCAGGTAGGGTTCACATTTCTGATGACTACTGTAATTTTGCTGCTGTTACAAATTTATAATCATGTTCTAGAAATTACATTAAGAAAACAAGAAAAACTATTAGGATCAGGTGATGATGCTCCGCCATCAGACAAACCACCACCTACCTGCACGTTCATACATAATACATCCATCACGCTGTGTTACCTGAACCCACAAAGCCCATTGTCTGCTCTATAAACCGTCAGCTGCTCACTAAAACCTGCAAATGTGTTTGAACTGAAGAATTACACAACCCAGCATTCACATGTTAAGAAGCTTGGTAAACAGTCAAATGGCTCGGGCTAGTTTTGTTAGGTAGCTCAGCTCTGTGCACAGCAGGTAGAGCCTCAAACATCACCAAACATCTGCTCTAACTGGCTGGAGAACAGCTCTGGACACTCTTTCAGTTCAGTTAGCTCATGATTAGAGTCTCAGAGGCTTCATTAATACTTTAGTCTGCAATTTAAGAGAAAATGAAACATAAATAAAATGTTATTAACAAAATATCCAATGCAATGATTCCTCAATACTGAGTAAAGATGGACATTGTA